TTTTGTTTCCCGAGGAACCAGAGACCTTATATTTCTTATGATTTGAACTTTGTTTTGTGCTATGTGTTTTACGGTCATCATGTAATATTTTGTTCAGCCGATGATGTGATTTGAACACGATCCAGGAAAGGGTATCATGCAAAGCAAGTTTGATATGTAAAGACATTGCCCGTCTCTGAACTCGATGAACGTAAAGCGAACTGACTATATATTCGCGCCTTGATTTCAGAGTGTTGAACATTTGCTACCTCAACTGAACTTCAACCGCTGAGTTTATAAATCCAACTTACAGGTGAATTAATTTTTGATGATGTCTTATTTAAATCTTAATCTGTTATAATAGCATAGATTGCAAACCCTGCGATCTTATATGCTTTGTTAGTGGCGTTGTTAAATACGTTTTATAATACTATAGGTTAATCGAGGGGTGAACCGCTGGTGTATTTTGGTGTACAAGATGTTGGCATTTTTGGCATTTTCGTGGTATTATTGGTATTAGTACTAAATTATTTGGCATTAGTGTACAGAAATTCATCAGCGGTTTACCCCTCGAGGTTAATTCCAGCATATGTTTTATATTATCAAATTTAATTTAGCATTTAACTGTAAGCATTTAAAAAGTGTACAATAGTTTATACTTTTCAAATATTCCGTTTTTAAAAATAAATTTTCTGTCAAAATGTTTTTTGCAGTTTGATTTCGTAATATTTTAAAAATACATAAAATTTTAAATTCACATTTAAACTGCCCGCCTTTTTTGTGGTAGGTAATGCAGATACCTATTTTACCGATTACGTCTGTCATATTTCTGTTAGTTCAGTTAGGGCTCAAGGGTGCGCTACAATCGATCCTCGTGATAAACGTGTTGCCTACTTTTTACTATGGAAATGACAACTCTTTTATTTTATATTTCTCTATGGTATGGAGTGTAGAGCATAGACAAGATAGACAAACAGAAAAATTAAAAGACTGCCAGAAGACCTGTAGCGCATCGACGCAAGAAATGTACCTGTAGCGCATCGACGCAAGTGCCGAAATACGTCCATCTAGCTATCTGTGTTTCGACCATAGACTTAAAATAAAATATAGACTACACTATTTACATCTCAACGCGGACAGACAATATTTTTTGTACACATGTTTACTTCTGGCAAGGATATATAGAATAAGGATATTCGACTGGCCCAAAAAAAACGTGCCGTATTTTGTCGAGGAAGACGATTTCGTCACGACCAATGGGCGTCGAGTATTTGAAATTGAAAACATATAAATTGGCGGTAACCTATGTTTTTTGACTCATTTCACTGACAAATGTGATGAGATTGTTATTGTAATTTATAGATCCAAAATCCAAACGTTTTTTGAATAAATAATTTATTATATAGGTCTCGTCTCCATAAATAAGTACAATGTAGTTCCCTTTTCTCCGTGCGGCGACCACACATTTTAAAGCCTAAACAAACAAATTTCAACATGCCCCTCGCTTCCCTGCTCCCTTACCTCATTACATGCCCTTGCATCATTTCTTATTTAGTCAGTCTTTTTTTGTGTGCGGTACGACCTACATCGAATATCGCGTAAAAGATATCGATCGGCTCTCGCTCCGAAGAGCGGAGTGTTTTAGATTATCTTTAAACGGATGGATGTTGACAAAGGCTGGTACTGCAAACATGCGTAAAAGAAAAAGATTAGTGACAAGCAGGTGGATGACACTTCTTATGGGAGAACTGGAAATGGTTGAAAACTTGACTACAAGCGATTTTCTAGGAATCTTCTTTACCGATAAATTATTGACAGGAGTGACAGATAAAACCTTGACATTCTTTCAGTATAACTGTTCAGCTTCTTTTTTTCTTTTCTAGCGTGTTGAAAGGAGACAAAAAACAATTTTTTAACCCATAAATTGTTATTCGAACACCACTTTTCTCCTTGTCGGGTCGTTGACGCTGACTTGTCGCCATTTTATTTCTTTTGTTTACATCGTTGCAGTTTGCTTTAAAATTGAATACATAAATTATTTTAGGCAAATATAGGTTTTGATAAAACTCCTTGCACTAACGTGTAGGTAAGTGTTGATAAATAAGTTTTTTTCATCTTAACATGCTCATTGTCATTCTCCTGATTTAGGTGACAGAAAAGGATCATCAAAATGAAATTGAATTTATATTTTTTTCATCCCAGGACCGATAATAAAAATATATATTTTATGGATACCTTCCTAAATATCAATGAGCCATCGGAAGAAAAGGACCATAGTACAAAACAGAAAGGTGATCTTTTTTTCTTTCCACTTAGGATATTGAAATTATTATATACTGTAGTCGTATTTATATTAGCTCTTAGAATATAGGTAAACAAAGAAGAACAGATAAAGCATCCCAGAGGAAAAGAGAGGCAATACCTGTACTCTCTCTCTGATATTTGTGAGTTACGGCAAAGTATTGTTGTAAATGTCACCTTTTTAATCGACCTGAAAACTTCTAGCAAAAAGATGACACTTTCAACAAAACCCTGACAGATATCAGACGATACAGGTTTTTCCTCTTTTTCCCTGGAATACTTTAAATTTATTATTCTTTGTTTATCTAGATTTCACAGAGCACTATGAACGAACTCAGCTTGTATGTTTGAAATAATTGTCCAGTTGGCTTCAAATGATGATCGATTTATTATTTCCTATATATAATTTTACTTTCAAAAATTATGATATATATCGTCATTTCTAAGCCATCTATGAGGCCATTTTTTCAGTTTTGTTATACTAATTTTGTCTCTGGATCTACTTGTAACATTATTTTTTAATTTTATTAATTTATTGTGGTGAAATTAATTTCTGTTGTATATTTGATATTATATTAAAACATATTTTAAAAATGGTGTATTTTTTGTGTTTTATCTATGTCATAATTAAAATAAATGAAGAATTAAAATTTTTATTTTTTTTTAAACTTCCCGCCATGCGTGACAATCCAGTCCGTAGTTCCTACAAGCGATATTGGGGGCGCTAGTAGCAGTAGACTTGTCAACAGTGTCAAATTTAAACGTCAATTTCACTTTCCAATATTTAGCAAGGCGCCAGCACTTCTTGTGTATGTGTTTTGTGGTGACAAGTTTGGAAGAGGAAAGAGTAAGTTTTGAGAGGCAGGCGAATAGTAGTGATTATTCGCAAGATTCTGAGGACGAGATTAGAAGCAGTGTTTGAGATGTTAGAAATAAAGGTAAATAAACATATAACATATGCATATACAATACCTGAATAGTAAGGGGAAATTTCTTCTAAGCTTGGGTATATAGGTATTGTTGGTGAATACCTTAGTGAATGCTTATATTATCTAGATTTTTCCACTTATGCTTATATTACACTAATATGGCAGAGTACGTTGGTAGTTACTCTAGCTTGGTTTATAGGACATTAAATTTATTCACGTTAATTATAGCGGAGTACAGTGGTGGTTACTCTAGCTTGATGTGTAGGTATTGTTGGTGAATACCTAAGTGAATGCTTATATTACCTAGTTTTTTCCCACTTATTACATTAATACAGCAGAGTACGTTATGGTTACCTACATATATGCTCTATTGATGAATACTTATCGCATGGCTGTCTTATTATACTAATATGGCAGATTACGTTGGTGGTTACTCCAGCTTGGTTTATAGGACATTAAATTTCTTCACGTTAATTGTAGCTGAGTACAGTGGTGGTTACTCTAGCTTGGTGGGTATATTGTTGGTGAATTTCAGTGAATGTTTATATTATCTAGTTTTTCCCACTTTTTTACAGTAATACAGCAGAGTACGTTGCTGGTTACTCTAGCTTGGTTTATAGGACATTAAATTTATTCACGTTAATTGTAGCGGAGCACAGTGGTGGTTACTCTAGCTTGGTGGGTATGTATTGTTGGTGAATACCTCAGTGAATGCTTATATTATCTAGTTTTTCCCACTTTTTACAGTAATACAGCAGAGTACGTTGGTGGTTACTCTAGCTTGGTATATATGGTATGTGTTTATGTTTATTAATTAAAATTTAGTTGCAATTTATTTCATATTCTAATATTTTTGAGAAAATTTTACTTAGATACATACCTGAATATTATGCTGCTTTTTTATTTTAAAGTGTGCCGACTGTGCTGTTATTTTTATACTAGTAATATTGTATACTGTAGGTATCGTATTCATATATAGTTATATATAGTTAGTATATATATATATATATATATATATATATATATATATATATATAGATATTTACTTTTCTGTGTTACTTATATCTTTTATAGTCTTTCTAAGTGCATATAATACTACTTTTTTAAGAGAAGGCAGTATTTAATAATCTATTGTTAATTCCCTTAATTCTGTGTCCCCTGGTTCTGCTATACAACAATTATATATTTTCTTATCATTACTGATTTTAAAAAGTTTCTTTTTCAAAGAATTTGACCATATATTTTTTTCAGAGTAATTGGGATGTTCCTGAACAATATTGAATATAAATATCAAAAAATTGATAACTGCATATCCTACTAAGTAGATCAATACCAAAATACCATTAGAGAAATAAGTTAAAATTATGTTTTACTTGTATAATTTTCTTGCTATTTGTCCACTATTATTTGTGACTTAGAAATTAAATAGTCAAAAGAATTTAGTACCAGTTTTTATTTCCTCAAAAAAATTGTTAAATAATTACATATTGCTTAAGATACAGTATATTATATTGTGTTTATAGTTGATAATTTTAGTTCTTAGTTGTTTATAGTTGATAATTAACAATATTTGATGTTAGATATAGGTATTAGATAAAATTTAATTACCAATAGCTATCTACCTATGTAGCTGCAGATTATATATTGTGTAGTAGGTACTGTATAATTCTTAGTTCAAGAAAACAAATATCAGTACAAGTATAGCAACTTAAAATGTTGATGCAAATTTTGTATAACATACGTACCCCTATGGTATTCAACTTTTCATTGTTCTTTTAATTAGATACACAATAAGCACATTAATTCGTTTATTAAACAACCAAAACTCTAACTACTTAAATTCACAATATAAATATCACAATAAATGTATAAGTTTTGATCAATTCCTATTATTAATACCTGACGACTTCATACTTTATAACTACCAATGGCTATCCTACTAACACACTAGCCAACTAATAATAAATCTGTTCTTAAAAAATAACATAAAGACATCAAGTTATTGCAATAATATAGAAATATATTCCATGTATCATTAACTACCTAGGTATAAATACAATACCCACATCTTCTTTTAAGCGAATAGTGCGTTAGGAGGCAGAAATATTGTCTGCATTGTACATCGTACAAATTGGCTAGAATTTATTAATATCCATTGCAAACATTTCTTTTCAAAGGGTCTAAATGTTTTGTCTTTTACTGTGTCCCTGTAATAAGTTATCAATTAACAACAGTTATCAAATATGACCTGAACAATAATAATAATATAATTGTTTTAACTTTTTTTCAAACTAAACTTTAAAACAAACTATATAAATAAAATTTATCTCATAACCTAGCTTGTTGCTAGAATTTCTTCTTGTTATTCTATGTTCCTGTATTGTTATTCTTCACATTATCAATTCCTATGAGCAATATCATTACTAAATCAAGGAAATCTATTCCTAATGCCAATTTAAATTCTGTGAAGTCACAACACTTTCTTCAATATTTGTTTACTTCCTTAAAAATGTCAAAGCATATAACTTGAAATAATATATCAAGTATATATTTAAATTTTTGACATGCACTCACATTTAGAACATCTGAAATAAGAAATTTTGTAATTTACACAACAAAAAAGATATAATAACATTTTTCTCAATATAGAGCGAAATTTCTTTGCGTCTTCAGATACAAAACTTGCGGATTCCCATACATCGAAATACAAGATAAGATATTATTTATTAGTAGACAAATACCAAAATATAGAAGGCCAAACCAAACTCTAGGAAATAACTTTAAATGCATTATTTTTCAAAAAACGTTTGATCTATAAATTACAATAATAATCTCATCACGTCTGTCAGTGAAATGAGTCAAAAAACATAGGTTACCGTCAATTTATATGTTTTCAATTTCAAATACTCGACGCTCATTGGTCGTGACGTAATCGTCTTCCTCGACAAAATACGGCATATTTTCCTACATAGCCCGCTATAGGGAGTTGAATATCCTTCTTCTATATATCCTTGACTTCTGGGTACAGTCGACCGAGCCTTCCTCATCCAGCCTATGTTGTCACGTCTTTAATATTATCAATATTTTTTTTCTTGTTATACACATATATTGAGATATTAATACTACAGTTTAATAAAGTAGGTTTTAATATTCCATAGATGTATTAAATAGTCCTTATACTACTAAATTATAAGTCGGATACTGTTAAAAAGGATAAGTTCTTCACAATATGACAACACCGATTAGAGGCGAGGAGCCTATTCATTCATTTATTACCTTTGTAGTACGTGTCGCACGTGTGGTAAAGCTTTGTTGCCGCTATATCTCCCCGGCTGTATTAACGCATTTCTTTTAGCTTGTAATGCTTAAGTGTTTATATTGACTTTTCTGTTCAAGAACTATAAATATGATTCGCCAGTGCCAAATTTGTAAGAAATTTGACTTAAATAATCCATTTAAGTATTGAAACGACTTTTGATCGGTAGGCAACTCTCAATTTACCCATTGGGAGTATCAGTGGCGTTGTTGTAGAAAGGCGCTTATTTACATAATATTTTAGTAAAATGTAAAATCTGAATTTTCTCTTTTACATTACATTATTTACTTACTTACATTGTAACAAAATCATAATTATAAACCCCTAATAATTAATAAATGTTTTTATTAAAATATATTCCGGTTTATTCCAAAAATTATCTTCAGAATCAAAATAACATACAAGAATTTTAAAATGATATTACATTATGAAACAATATTTTAATATACCGGGTCGTCTCAAATGTGGCTCACTCCCTATAACTTTTTATTTTTTCAGATAAAAAACAGATTTGTATGTTAGTAGTATATGACATAAATTAGATTTATTGACGTATTCAATTGTTTTTGGTCTTCCTGTTTCACCGAAAATGATTACATCTTTTGATTTTAAAGGCACCTCGGTATATTGCTACGGCTGGATAAAAAATGACACTCTGAATAATGACATATCATATGTCAACTTTGACATTGTCGCTTAAAAACAACAAATCCTATTTTAAATTCCCATCCAGGTGCCATGGTGTTGTTAAAAAACACTAAGTTTTAATCAAGGAGCCTTGGAAAAAATAGTTGATCGTCTAATGGGTTTCGTGTCTTGTCTAGGCCGGTTAAAAGATGTACAAATCGTATTTTTAATCATACATACAATTTTTTCAAAATGGAACAAGGGTGACTCATTAAAGTGCTATTTGAAAAAGCATTTTTATGAATATATTGATACTCAATACTACACTTGGTATTTCGAGTCAAATTGTCGTTATGAACCGCGTGTTACAATTACTATTAAACCATATGCGAGAATATCAAAAGTTGATATATGATGTGTCATTCTTATCAGAGCGCTATTTTCTATCGAATAGCAAAATATACCAAGGGTGCCGTTTAAAAATTAAAAGTTATGTCATTTCCGGTGCAACAGGAAGTGACCAAAAAACAATTGAATGCGTCAATCAATCCTAGTAATTTATGTCATGTACTAACATACTAAATCTTATGTTTTTTATTTGAAAAATATAAAAAAATTATGGGGAGCTTTCACTTTTGGGACGCACCCCGTATAATAAAGACAGTACCGAGTTAAATAAATGTAGTTTCTATTTTATCCACTTCCTATCACCTTCCTTGCTTTAATGGAAAATAATATACAAAGTAAAATAAAAAAAAAACATTTAACCAGAAAAAAATTACAACAATCATATATTTTTTCTCTCCCTGTCGCCGATTCTATTATATCTGTGAATAGATCCTCGTTTTGATTAATATTAGGGTTGTAAATGTTTTATCAAATATCAGTTGTTGTTTCAAAAATTACGTAATTTCGATTACAAAATTTCTTCTATAACGTGTATTTTATTATTTTTATCCTTTTTGACTCTAAGATGTTTTTTTCTAAAGTTTTATTTAAAAACCTGTCCTAAATCTTAATAAAATATAAAAAAGTTTAAATACGATATATATTTTTAATTTAATTATAGCTTCAATAAATAAAAATTACTCCGGCTATGATACGGAGAGTTCAGGTGTACTTGAGAAACGAAAGACAGTGTTGTGTTTCTCGGCAGAGTCGTCAGGGAACGATCGTTACGACAGAGACAACCTATCTATCGCTCGTGTCGCACTCGTTATAACCTAAAACAATAACAAGACAGTGTCTGACCGCATGTTCCAGCTATTTATGAATGAGACACAGAACACACTAAAGAAGAACGCTAACTCCCATGCATTTTTTAGTTTCAAAACGGTTTCAAATTTGTAAAGAAATCTGTAATCTGTATATTGAAGTGGCGCCATCTAGCCACCCAGGAAAGTAACAAATGTGGCGGCAAATTTAAATAGATGCAATTTATTTTTAAACAAGATGGTTGATCTTGTTCGTTGTTAGAGCCAGATTTCTACAAAATAATGTGTAGTCATCTGATTGGTCCCAAGTTGGCAAACAAGTCAAATGGTAAAAAACAAGGATTTAAATATAAAGGTTAAACCAGGTTAAACTATTGTAAAGTGTTAGATGGTTTGCTTATATCATTTTATATGCATAAAACTCTACAATAAATAATTTATTTTAATTTACAGAAAATTATACCATGGAAACATTTCTTACAAACAAATAAACAATGATTAAAAAGTATAATATTTATTATAGTACCAGATTTAAGAACACATAAATATCGTTGGAATACAAGAGAAAGTTACGTCCATTAGAAACAATGTTTTATTTTACGTGTATATTTTACATATGGACTTGAACAATTGTGTAATATCACATTGTGGAGTTTATGTACAAAAATATGGAGTTGATCAATTTTTTTGTAAAAAATATATGGCGTTGTAAATATTACATTGTTAAAAAAATAAAATTCACGAACATTTGAACTTGGTTAGGTTACTTCCTACCTCACTTTCTCGGATTATTAAATAAAATTGTTAGATAAATCAAAGACCTTTAACTTAAACCTTACCTTTAATAAAGATCTTAAAAATCAAACACAAAACAAAGTTCAAAAAAATTCAAAAATACAAAATCACGATTGTAAAATGAAGATTGCAAAAAAACACAGCGAAACGCACATCTCCGTTCAATTGCAAAACACAACTGAAGCACAGAACAGATTAAAACAGAACGAAATCTTCCGTACAAAAAATTAGGACAACATTTTGGTACGCCATCTATGACACGGATTTAGAACTACAAATTAAATTAAAAAAAAGAAATCTGCAATTAAATTTTAAAAAGAAATCTACATTGCATTCAAAGCAATTTTGGCAGCGCCATCTATAGTATTATATTACACCTAATTAATTTAATATGCTCCGTATGTTCGGAAAATAACGATTCCAAGTTAACTTAAAATGACGATCGATACATTTTCTCTCTTTGTAAAGTTATATGGTTAATGTCATCAATAGTCATTTCTAAGTTAACTTGAAGCCGTATTCTTCGATCATACAATATTTAAACTAGGATGATTTTATACCAGATATTTTGTTTCAAGTAAAGTTAAATAAACATCTTATACAATATATTTTAAAAAATATGTTGTAAAAGATGTTTGATTTAATATACTTGCCAAACAAATATCTAGCCTATAATCGTTAAACAATACACATGCGGTAAAAATCACATTTACAATATTTTCTATACCAAAAATCAAAAAAAGTACTATCAGATTTAACTTAATAATAGGTGTATGATTAATAACACATGTGAATTGATTATATACCAGATATGACAAGGAAGTTTATAATAAAAATCATTTATTTTTGTTATAAATTTTTATTTATTTTTAATTTTTTGTAGATTTCGAAATTTTACAATACAAGTGCGGCTCATTAAATTTATAGGCAACTAAAAATTAAACATTACAATTATTGCTCGGATAAAATATATACAAATTTGTTTTGTATTTTTTTGTTTCTAAATTTCTATACCTAGGTATATGGTAATACTAAAGTAATATCAGTATGATCGAAAAAACGGAGTCAAGTTGGCTTGAAATGACGCGGTCGATGACATTCCTCATAAAATTTACATATATAGAGAGAATGACAGCGATATTCATTTCATAGCCAACGGTGATGTTTTTTTCGATCATATTGTACCATACGATTACAAAAAGCTGCATCAAGCTACCTTTGGAATGACAATTGATGG